AGGAGGAGGAGGAGTGAGGTACCACGATAGCAGTGGTGGTGCGTGGAGCAACCACAACACATGGACACACAATCAGTCGAACGTATTATGTACATGTGGGCGAGTGTACGCGCATGTATGAAGGTGCCAGTGTTCTTGTTCGGGAAATAAGCGTGCAAACTCGACTCACCGATCTGCGACGAAGTGATTCCACGCCGTGGCGCCGCGCATATGCCTGCAGTGGATCCTCCTGTGCTTGCAGGCAACGAGAGTTGTTGACGCATGAGCACGCAAAGGCAGGAGCGAGGAAGCGGGGGAGAGGCCGTTGCTTCTGACAGAGTGAGGGGAGGGAGGGGAGACACAACAACACAACACAACACAACACAACACAACACAACACAACACAACACAACACAACACAACACAACACAACACAACACAACACAACACAACACAACACAACACAACACAACACAACACAACACAACGCGAACACGTTCGACACGGGTGCGGACCGAGACTGCCTCAAGGGCGATGCCCGGCGATCCATATGAGACGACAGAGACGTCGGCACCCTCCGCTCCCGTCTCACGCCGCTGGTCCAACACACGCTGGGGAGCAGGCAAGTGGCGTGGGGTGAGGTGTGACAAAAACGTGTGAACGGAACTTGGTGTGGAGGTACGCGGGAAGATAACGCAGCCGCAAGCAGAGCATCGCACACACACATGCACACGTACACACATACACACAGACACACACCTACATACATACACACACATACATACACACACATACACACATACACACACATACATACACACACACATACACACACACGTGCAATGCACCTGGACATCTGGCGGGATGATCCACGCAGCCTCGATGGCGGCGAGGGACTGGAGCGCCGGCGCTGTTGGGCTCAACGGCTGCGACAACAACGAAAAAAGCATACGTCGTCATTGCAGGTACCACGCACCCATGAGCACAGCTGTAGCGTTCGCCCACGCAACCAGATATGTACTCATACATGCAGCAGCACGTTTCTCACAGGCAGCCACATCAAGATGCACACACACACACACAACTTGTACCCAAACGTACAAGAATGTACACACATATGTTCGCATACATACAAGAATGCACTCACATCCACATACACACACACACAAACACAAACGCGCGCGGGGCAGCAACGAACCGTGACGGGCACTTCCTCGACGTCGAGGTGCGTCTGGTCGTCTTTGGTCGGCGGCGCATGCGTTTCAGCAGCATGCGGTGCGGCGGCCTTGGCAGCCGTGGAGTCTAGCTCGCTGTGTTGGCGGGAAAGCTCACCAAGCCCAGCGGGCGCCTGTGCTGTTGCCGGGAGAGCCTGGTAATCGTCATCGTCTGGTGCATCGTCATCGAGGGCCAGGTTCTTGGCTGCTGCCTCCGCTATTGGCGCCGAAGATGGCTCAAGGATGGACCGCGCGCGTGCACGCGACTCCGTGGCCATAGCCTCAAGGAAGTCGTCCGACGTGCCCTCTTCCATCATGATTTGGTTTGTGCCGGTGCCACTGGCTTCGTCTGCATCTTGCTTGTCTGTGTCATCCGTGCTCTGCTCCTTCAAGTCGACATCGTCCACAACCACTTCAGGCTCTGGATTCACCGTCACCGTTGCCTCTCTCGCTGTTTTTGAGGGTGGCGGCGACGCCGGAGGCGCTGCCTGCGCTTCCGCCTGCTCTGATGGCTGCGCTTCTTCCTCTTGCCTTGCATGGTGGTCTGCATCATCGCCCTCAACCTCGTTCTGTTGGTCCGGTGCATCCGTGTTCCCTGAGGCGTCGTTTGATACCTGTGCTACCATCTGCTGCTGTTCCTCTAGTTCAACCCCTTCTTCCTCACCACCACCACCTTCTTCGTGAGCGTCTTCATGATCATCCCCATCACCATCATCGTTGTCTTGTTCACCAGCATCATCAGCAGCAGCATCAACTTGTTTTGCTTCACCATCATCATCAGCACCATCACCAGTTTCCTCCTGCTCCTCCTCTCCTTCCAGGCTCACCTCTTCCTCCTCGTCACCTGCTCTTTCCTCATCTTCTCTCCCCTCCTCCACCTCCACTGCACTCTGCTTATCGCTGTGTTCCTTCTCATCCATCGTCGTTGTTGTTGTTGTCGTCCTTTGTCGTTCGATGACGTCCTATTTATATGGCAATGAGTGTGCTTGTGCTTGAGTGTCTGTGTGTGTCTGTAAATGTGTATGTGTGTGTATGTGTGTGTGTGTGTGTGTGTGTGTGTGTGTGTGTGTGTGTGTGTGTGTGTGTGTGTGTGTGTGTGTGTGTGTGTGTGTGTGTGGAGTGTGTGCGAGAGAGGCAGCGCGTCTTGTGGCGAGTGGTCTTGTTCGTGTTCCGGCGCCAACAGTCCAAGTTGTGAGGAATGACCATGACACCAAACAATTTTCGTCGCCCTTGCTTCTTTCTGGCGCAACGTCTCACTTGCTGCGCTTCTGGCTTGTGATCCACCCTCATCCACCACACACACCCACACTCACACACCCTCTCTCTCTCTCAAGCAAGCAAGCAGCTCTGTGGACGATGGATCCACACAATACCCGCGTCCGCATCACTTCCCTCCTGTCGTCCATCGCGTGCGTGGTCGTTGTGATTGCAATCACAGCTTGAAGGACTCTTCTCACTCTCATGTGCTCCCGACTCACTCTCATGCTCCCAACACGGTCCTCCACGTACTCATATGTACACACACGCACACGCACGCATACACACGCTCTCTCTCTCTCTCTCTCTCTCTCTGTCGTGCATGATGACATCTTGCAGGGACTCAGCAAAGGAGCATGCGGAAAGCAAGGATGACGACAAGGCAACCTGCCGCCCACACAACAAGGACGACTTTGCTGCGCGCGTCGACACGTTCAAGGTCACCACGTGGTTCAACAAACCAAGCGAGCTATCGTCGCTCCAGTGCGCCCGCTTCGGCTGGACCAACAGCAAGGAGGACACCCTCACATGTGTTACCTGTCGTTCCATCCTCAACTGCCGCATCGACAACAGCCTCTCCGCCACTTCAGGTGTGTGCGTGTGTATGTTTGCGCGCGCGTGCGTGCGTGTGTATGTGTCTGTCTGTGTGTCTGTGTGTCTGCCTGTGTCTATCTGTGCACGTGTAGGCTTGGACTTGGGCCACTCTGTCGATCAAGCTGAAGCTCACACACACACACACACCACACCGCTGCTTATTCACATCCACTTTCTGCTTGACGCTTCATGCAGTGCAATCGTTGGTGGCCAAGTTTGCCGACAATCTCAAGACGGGTCACAAGACGTGGTGCCCGTGGCGCACCAACTACTGCCGCGTGGAAATGGCACACCCCCCAGTCGAGGACAAGCCGACAGAACAGCACTTGATCAACGACAGGTACCGTTGTCGATTGTGCACTTGTATTTCTTCGTGGCTGCTCCCTCGCCAACACTCACACACGCTCACACATTCACTCACACACACACGCACACATTCACGCACACACACTCACTCACTCACACACTCACTCACTCACTCACACACACACACTCACGTACACACGTGTTGTTTCCTTGCTGCGTCCTTTATTTGTGCCGGTTTGCGCTGCAGGCTGCGTTCACTGGTGCGTTTGCACAATTTGCCGCCAACCCGCATCCATCAATCCGTGTTCAACGACCTCAAGCGCTTGCACACCGCCCTCAATCGTGCGTCTCCGCAATGTGACATGCGTGTGTGCGTGCGACGCGTGTCCATGCAATGTGTGCGACGACTGTTGCTGGCTCATCCTGCAATAGACAGGGCGACTGCAGTCTGACCTGTGTCTCACTTGCTCCTTGTGTGTCTGTCTGTGGTGTTGATAGCAGTGGGTGACGCGTTCGCACCAGTTGACGGCGCTGCCGCCATGAAGGTGGCCCACCTCCTCCTCGCTCTCACGGGATGGAGCAGCGACCAGCAGCCAAACAGGTGCCTACCCGATGCTTGCATGCATGGTCGCATGAATACGTGCAGCTGTCGACCAAACGCTACTGTCGTTGTAGTCGTCGCGCATTCGCTGCCCTGTACTTGTGAAGCGTCGGTGAAGTGTCCCACTCACTCATCCAGTGTGCGTGCATCTTCTTGGCCCCGATACCTCTTCATCTTCACCTCATCTTCACCTCATCTTCACCTCATCTTCACCTCATCTTTACCTCATCTTCACCTCATCTTCACCTCATGTCCACTTCGTCAGCTCATCGTCACCTCACCACCTTCCCTCGCCCTCCACCTGGCTTTTCTTAGAATGGTGCGGACGCTCAAGTGCGGCCTGTGCCAGCGCGCGTGCGCCGTGTGGAACTTCGACCACGTCGTCGATGGCGGTGTCTTTCCAACCAATTGCCATGGTGACGGCGGTGGTGGTGGTGGTGGTGGTGGTGGTGGTGATGGTGATGCGTCTGGCGATGGTGATGACGCAGCGGTGGAGGCAGTGGCAGCAACAAGCACAGCAACCACCACAACAGCAGATGGGAGCGGTGGCGGTGCGCTGGTGGTGTATGAGGGCGGGTTTGAGGACGACACAGCCGCAGCACAAGGCAGGGTCACAGCGGCAGCAAAGCAGTTTGCCAACCGGTGGGCTGTGCCCGCAGTGACGCCGCACCATGCAGCAACGGTGCCTGCAAGCACAGAGAAGCAACAGAAGTGCGAGAAGCAACAGGAGCGTGAGAAGCAACAGGAACACCAGCAGTTGCAGGGTGAGTCTGGGCTGAGGTACGGCAGGAAGGCGATGCAGACGAGTTCAAGCATCCTGGAGGCGCGACGGCGCGCGGCCATGGGGCTGGACACGGCAGGACCAAGGTCTGCACACTTGCGCGTGTTGGAAAAGTGTGTGGTTGGTTGCTTGGTTGTTTGAGCCTAGTTGTGTGCGTGTGTGTGTGTGGTTTTGTGTGCGTGTGTGTGTGTGTGTAGCTTTGTGTGCGTGTGTGCGTGTAGCTTTGTGTGCGTGTAGCTGTGTGTGCGTGGGTGAAACTCATACGCATGGACCTTTGCGCATGGGTGTGCCCATGCATGTACTCACGTGAATTGTGCTGCCTTGCCTTTGACGCCACCAACGCAACAGGTTTGGAGCGGCCACGAGCAGCGTGGGCCAGTTTCTGTTTGGTCTCAACTTCAAGTTCAACCCGAACGGTGCGTGTTTCTGCTGTAGTTGTGCGCACTTACACCTCACCACCGCACCCGTCTCATTACTTGCGCGTATTAACTCGTTGTTTGCCCCGTTGTTCCTGCTTAACACACTCCAAGCGCCTGTTTTCGTTTTTTGCCTTACATTGAACACCTACAACCCTCAACTCTCCACCGTCGTTATCGTTGCTTGCGCAGCAGCCCATGTGGCCAAAGCAGAGACGGCCAAGCGGTCACAGGCGGATGCCCGCACCGCCGCTAACAGCAGCAGTAGTACAACAACCAGTATGGAGGGCGACGCAGTAGAGCCTGCGGCGAAGAAGGCCAAGCAACCACACCTGTCCCAGCAGCAGCAGCAGGTACGACAGCGGTCGGTTGGAGGGAAGGCACTTCACTGGGGTGACTTCAACCCCGTCACGAGCCATCGCCCCTGCTGTGTGTGGGCCAACCCCGAGCGTGCTGCTCAAGTGCTCAGCGTGCTGTTGAACAGCGACAAGAACGCCAGCACCACCACCAGCCGCATGGGCAGCGCCACCACAACGCCGCTGAAACAGCCGCACGCTTCATTTGCGCAAAGCCCAGCCGCCACACCATCGCCCGCACAGCAGGCAGCCACAACGCCGCGTGAGCACCAGCCACAGCAAGACCGCCAGCAGCGCCAACAGCAAGCGGAGGAGGGCGAGCATACACGTGATGAGAGCGCCGACGAAGACCACCACCACCACCAGCAGCAGCAGCAGCAGCAGCAAACCCGCTTGGAGAAGGCAAAGGCGGCAGTGGAGGCAGTACGACAAATGTTGAAGTAGTCCGTGAATTTTCTGCAACCGCCAGAGCAAGCGTCTTGAGCGAAAGGAGCGAGTGAACAGCAGGTATTGGTTGGTGGCAGCCAGTGCAGACACAACAGAGACACAACTGACGAACCAGCAGACGCAACAGAGAAGGAAACCGGCGACCATGACGGCAGACGCGTGGATTTGGATTATTGCAGTGATTGTTATTGTGTTCCTGCTCTTCTTGATGGTCTTCAACGTACGTGAACAAACCAACCCGCCCGGCCCCCCCCCAAACAAACCAGAATTGAGATGAGAACCAGTCCACAACTGTGTTTCGTGTGTGTATGTGGGTGTCAGGGATTTGATGTGCTTGCGCGTGAGCATGTGAGTCAGGTCGAGCAGATGTGAAGCCGGAGAGGACTCATCACGCTCTTTTGATGTGTGTGTTGTTCGTTTGTTTGCTGCGGTCAACAGTTGCTGGCGTTTGACGAACTTCGCAATGACCACAAGAACCCCGTCGACGTGTCGGCATCCATCAACCCGGTGCGTATGTGTGTGTGTGTGTGTGTGTGTGTGTGTGTGTGTGTGTGTGTGTGTGTGTGTGTGTGTGTGTGTGAGTGTGTCCCTGTGACTGCCCGTTTTGCGTGAAGGTCGGCCTGTGGTGTCATTTCTGTGCCATGCCTCAAGAAAGTGCTTCCCACCTTCTCACCTTGCTTGCTCATGGATGTTTGCTGTCGCATCACGGTCACAGTGGGTGCTTCCCGAGTATGCAGCGCACACTGCACTGACGGTGGTGTTCCTCTTCACCGGCAAATGGGTGTGCTTCGGCATGAACGCCATATTGGTCGCCTACCATGCTCACAGGTGTGTTTGATGTGCTTGTGCGTGCGTGTGTGTCTGCGCACGTGTATGTGCACGTGTGTGTGTGTGTGTGTGTGTGTGTGTGTGTGTGTGTGTGTGTGTGTGTGTGTGTGTGTGTGTGTGTGTGTGTGT